CAAGCTTTTATTCTGAAAATCCTTCATGACGACATCCGGGACTACCGTCCATTAGTATCATTAAAGTGGCTATTGACGCCGTTAACATGTATTACATATAAAGTTATGAAAGAGATAAGGAGGAGAAAAGGCATGTGGAAGTAAGCAATGAATGTAAAATGTCGAAATCCTCTGTTTAACGCGATATCGGACACAGACGAACGAGGGGGGAAGTCCCCTACGTCACTACAGCTCACAGAGCGGAGGAGCGAACAGCCAGCAAGCGGGAAAGACGAAGGCTTGTGGTCTCTCTTCGGCACAGCCAGCACCTGGGAGAGGAGAGGAAGCTGCAGCCTTTTTCTCCTGACTGAACAATATCCTGTTTGTAACATTACCTCGCCATATTTTTAATTAAAGTACAATTTGAACCTTCTCAGAGACTCCATTTAGTCTCCTTTTTAAGCTTCTCTCCTTGACGCGAGAAAAACGATCACGGTTTACAGTAAGCACACAGCTGAGTAGGCAGTGTCACTGTCACTCGTTCTTGGGAAAAGTAACGTTGCGGCGAATTGAAGAAGAAACTACGTTACGTTACCAAATTTTCCGTTGAACGCCTCCTCTCCTTCCTCTCTTCCTCCGACAATTTTTGGGCAACATCCTGCCTGGTAAAGCATTTGTACTACTACTTCTTAGGAAGTGGGGAATAGGCGGAATAGGGTTACTTGCTGCTAGTGAACGTATATCCAGCTGCTCTGAAACTTGCTGCTGTCATTCCCGTACTCAAAAAACCCTGATTCCCTCAATAATCACCGGCCCATCTCTAACCTCTACAATCTAGTTTCCGTACTCGCCGCAGCACAGAATCTGCCCTACTTGATCATCAGATCAAGGGGGCGTTGGGGAACACCAGTCGAAACCCACCCCCGCTGCCGCTGTAAAGCCGTTGTGTCCTTGGGCAAGACACTTCACCTGAATTTGCTCCTGTGGGTATTGTCCACAGTACATGACCGTTACATGTGTGTAATGTGTATTTGTAAAGCGCTTTGAGGATCTGGAAAAGCGCTATAATAAAATGTAAGGAATTATTATTATTATTACTCAAGGTCACTAACGACATTCCTCTCTGCTGACTCTGGTTCCCTTTCAATTCTCATTCTCCTTGACCTAACCGCCGTATTTGACACGATCAACCATTACATCCTTATCACCCGCCTTCAGTCTTTAATTGGCATAACTGGCACTGCCCTCTCCTGGTTTAAATCCTATCTCTCTGACATATCAATTCATTTCCATCAACAACTCCAAATCCCACACAGCCCCCGTCAATCATGGCGTCCCTCAGGGTTCTGTACTTAGTCCCCTTCTGCTCATCATCTACATCCTCCCAATTGGACATCCTCCGTCACCACCAACTCCAGTTCCACTGTTATACTGATGACACACAGCTCTACCTATCAACAACATGTATTTCTCCAACCACACAGCTCACCACCTGCCTCACTGACATCAAATAATTTTTTAAAACTCAACTGCGACAAATCGGAACTCATAATCATCGGCCCAAACTCACTTACCCACTCAACCCAGAATTTTTCACTAACCATTGACGGCTCCATTGTCAACTGTAATCTTGGTATCATCCTCGACCCCCCTTCACTTAGCTCCCTCATGTTAACCAGGTCAAAAAAGCCTTCCACTTAAAGAACATCGCCCGCATCAGACCCCCCATCTCATCCACCACTGCTGAAACTCTGATCCATGCCTTCTTACATCGCGACTGGATTACTGTGACAGCATTCTTTATGTTTCATCCTCAAAAAACTTCCAAAACTCTGCTGCCCGTATGCTCACCTCCACCCGACACTCCGACCACATCACCCCTATCCTCCACTGGCTCCCCAACAAAACACCTCTTTGACTTTAAAATCTTACTATTCACTTTCGAAACCCTCAACAACCTTGCCCCCCCCTACCTCAGTGACCTCAGCCAACGACACCCCCCCATCCGTCGCCTCAGGTCTGCTGACGCTTACCTACTGCTGCCCATCAGAACCAAGCTCCGGACCTGGGTAGGGGTGCAACAACTAATCGACTTAATCGATTAAAATCGATGACCAAATTAGTTGCCAACTAATTCAGTCGTCGATTCGTTGGTGACGTAATCACGTGTGTTTTACACGCCGTTAAGCTCCAACGTTATCGGTCTTTTTATCGGTACTGGAGACATTTAATAAATATATGTCATGTTTTATTGCTACAAAAACATTATATCGCAGTCTTGGTGTCGCCAACTCGTTTTTAATATGCAAAAAGACAAAAATGGGCGTCTATGGTGTATTTTCGATCTTTCCAATCTAGACGAGATCTTTCTCTCCCCCGTCTGTGTGCGAGGGGGCGGGGCAGTTTACACACACGCGGCTGCTACATGCAGCAACACACGGCGGGGATGGCGGAGAGAAGCGCTCCAAGGTGTGGTTAAATGTTACCCGTCTTGAGGTGGACAATGCTCCTTGCCAAGAGTGTTTAGCATGTAAGGGCGGTAACAAGAGCAATTTGTCTAAACATTTAGCAAAAGTGCTCCACATTCAGACGGAGGAATGCACCGGGTTCGACTGTCTTTCTAGTAGCTCTGTAGCCCCATCCACGAGTAACGTTTCCATGTCAGCAACACACGGAGTTAACAAAATGATAGAAACATGGGTTAATGATTAGAGGTAACTGAGTTATTTATTTTGTTAAAGTTTCAGCTATTCTGTTTACAGTTCTGTCATCACATTATTTAATACGATTTGTTAAAACATTGTTGTTTCTTTTGATGTGAAATATTATTTATTTAATTTAAATAAAAAGCAATGTTAATTCTGTTCACAATGTGTTCAGTTAATTTAATAATATATGTATTTTTGAATCAAGTATTCATCTCAATTGTCATTGTTAGTTTCCACATGCCTAAAACAACCTCAAGCTAAATCTAAAAGTTGATGGCTAAATAAGAGCGTTTGAGAAATTGTGCAAGGCATAATAGTCCGAATAGTCGATTAATCGTTTCTTTAATCGATAGATTACTCGATTATCAAATTAGTTGTTTGTTGCAGCCCTAGACCTGGGGAGACAGGGCCTTCGCAGCAGCCCCCCCCCCCCCCCCCTCACTCTGGAACTCCCTCCCCAGCCACGTCCGATCTGCCAACACTCTCACGTCATAAAAAAAATCCCTCAAAGCTCACCTTTTCACTAATCCACTAACCCCTCCCCCCTATTCCACCTAGTTTAGCACTTTTTCCTATTGTTGTCATTTTTCTTCTTTACTTGCTTGTAAGGCGATTTGAGCACCAGGAAAAGCCCTTTTTTCCACTTGTGCCCCTTTTCCACCAAACCGATTCTTAGCCGGCCCAACTCGGCTGCCCGGCAAGAACCAAGAACCAATACTTCACGCTTACGTCAGAGAGGGGCAAGATTAACCTGGGCAATAACATTTCATGGCGAGTATGGCATATATAAGTTTTACAAGCAGTAGCGCTGAGCAAAGTGACTAGAACGCAACCACACACTTGTAAAAAAACACATGTTATAAAGTCAGGCAACACTAATCAGGCTTAGTGTGATACTTTTTATTTTTACCTTACTTTAATGACCAGAGAGCAGGCAGACGTTTTCCTGTTGTTTTGTATTATAGCAGCTATCGGATGGAATCAATACATGGGCTACACAGGTTGTCATGTCCGACTATCATAAGTAGAATCATAATGAAAAATACAGCGGTAAAATGTGCCTGTAGAAAACGGCTTATGCCACCATAGGATAGCAACAAGTAGTCAAGATAGTCAGATTAGCTTTGGTTGCTATGCTAACATCACCCATTCTATACCAGAACTTTCATAACACTGTTGTTATGCCAAACAGCGTCAATTCATACTGACACACATTCACTTATGGGGATGGGGGATATTTATCAGCTGCTTGTGTGACAGAATACTTTCCAGCGGACGCTGCTGTGAGCTAACGGTAGACTAAACTCCAATGGACGAGCAGCGCTGCCGCTGAACCACATTAATAAACAATGAACCACGGCACTCTGGAGAAAAATATAATGGTTGAGAGAGAAGTACTTATTTAATTTAATATGGCTTCGTATGATTAAAAGTAACACGATCATCGACCCAACGCAGTCCCCCGTTGTTGTTGTTGTTGTTGTTGTTGTGAGCGGCGTTGGGGAGGAAATCAGCGACGTAAACGGTGATGTCATGACGCAGCAGCGGCAGCATCAGTCGGGCTCTGAGAAGGTGGAAACACAAGTGGTGCTACAGAGAAGAACCAGTTAAGCACCAGAAAAGCACAAGAACAGTTCTTGAACCCGAACATTGCTAGACTCCGACCGTCCGAGTCTTTTGCTGAAACCTGGCTCCACTGGCTGCCGGTCAAGTCCCACATTTCCTACAAAATCCTCCTCTTCACCTACAAGTCCCTCTATGCCCATGCCCCCCACTACTTATCGGACCTCCTCCGCCCACATGCCCCTCCCCGGAACCTGCGGTCTTCAGACTCCGGCCTGCTTACCACCGCCCGCACCAACCTGCGAACCTTCGGGGACAGAGCTTTTAGTGTGGCAGCCCCCACCCTCTGGAACTCTTTCTCTTTTAGTGTGGCAGCCCCCACCCTCTGGAATACTCTCTTTTAGTGTGGCAGCCCCCACCCTCTGGAACGCTCTCCCTGCAATGATTTGCAACATCCCCACTCTTGACGCCTTTGAAAGGGCCCTCAAGTCCCGCCGATTTGCCAAGGCCTTTGGCCCCTAGTTTATTTGTTGTTGTGTCTGTCTGACTGTTTTTTTTTGTTTTACTCCGGTTTTCATGTAAAGCGACCTTGGATCCACAAAAGGCGCTATATACATTTAGTTATTATTATTATTATTATTATTATAAATAAAATGTATTATTATTATTAATACTGTTTATGGTTATTGAACTTTTACCAACATTAGATGACATGCAGTGATATGACCTGCTGCCTTAATGCTTTCTGACCTGTATTGCTTTGATATTCTCCATCAGCTGGTCCGTTCTGGACGCTCCCAGCAGGACAGAGTTCACCCCCTCGTTCCTCAGGCACCATGCTAGACAGCACAGGAAAAATAAAAATGGGAAGTCAATCCTTTAGCAGCCATTTTATTTAGAAGCAAAGAATGAATTAAATTGGACTACAACATGGTATAGGGATTTCCCAGAGCTATGGGTGCTTAAAACATTTCTGCAAGTAGTCTTTTTCTTCTTTCTTAAGTATTTCTGGACGCTGATTTTAAATTAAAATCAATGTTGATATGGCGTAATTTGAATTAAATACACTGTTAAATACGTCGGTTTGGATTTAATTTAAATCTGTTTTATTCTAAAAACCGAAGATTCACACATGACTTCCGGTTTTCCGCTAGTGAATTACGTCATTTCCGGTTAGCATTAGCATGTGGTGAAATGCTACGTTTTCAAACCCGTGAATTGAGGGTGAAATGACATGTGATGTTGTACCCTAAACACACTGGGATCAACACTAATTTATTTGACGCTGAAATAACGTTTATCAGGGAATGTTTAAATAACCACAGACACCAGAATGATGTAATTTAGCAACAGAAAAAGGCAGGAATTGCATTGGACCCGCCCCCGTCAACGCCGGCCAATAGGAGAAGACCTCAGATGACAACAGGAAGAGCGAGCCAAGAATCGATCTCTTTTCCCTGACCTCGGCTGACCGGACGCATGGGGGGAGAGCCTCCACTCGCACATTTTATTTGTACACCACCGCATCTTTTGTGTAATTAAATGCTGTTAACTTTTATAAGCTTCCTTTGACTCTTTTCAGTCTGTCCTGCTCTCAGGGTTCTAGAATTACTTACATTTTGAATGGCCAATGTGTGTTTTTACTCATGTGTTTATAGTTTTACACTGTGTTTTAAAGATTCGTTATATAATAATAATTTTGGGATTTCCTCCAAACACCCTGGCAGCGCCCCAGCTGCATTTCACCCCCTCTTCCTCTTTATTTGTATTGCTGCTTTATCAATAAAAAAATGGAAATGCCCCAAAAATAATAATATAAAAGAAAGAAAAAAAAACTGTTACCAGCTAAAAGTGCTAACTGCACAAAGTGCTAACAGTGCTAACTGCACAAAGAGTGCAAACAACAGCAACAGTGCTGGGGGAAGGGGGGGGTGTTAATGTGCAGATGGGGGACAGTGTTATCCAATGGAGACTGACTTAATTCTCTGCTCAGGACCAAATGACTCCAGTATATATTAAACAGCTGGATGTTTGTGCTATATTAATGTTCTCATTTTTCTGTATAGATAAGCGGTAAGCATATGGAAACTCCTCTGGTTACAGGTTACTTAAAGTTAAGGAAATGTTGGAAAATGTGCATACAATTAACATTGAGTGCATGTAACTTTTGAATAAGGCTACGGAGACAGAAACGTTAGGTGTTCAAGAAGAAAACACATCAACAATTATATAGGAAGATACATATAGACAGCAACTCAGTTTGGATTTACCAATAGCCAGTTGGGGCAGAGTGCAGCCCATTCGCTCAGCAACTGCCTGCAGCTCTTTTAGCTTCACCTGCTGCCTGTGCCCCTCCTCACTCAGGACCTTGTCCTTCATCCATTGATAACCCTGTTGAAGACAACACAATACAGAGCACATGGTAAAGGGCTTGACAAAGATATTCCAAGTGCAACCAACCCTGAAAGCAAGGATGACTATTTTCCAATTTTAAGTGTAAATGCTGTTCAACAGCATTCCACTATTGATCTTCTTTTCTTTAATCTTCTTATTTTCCTTCTTATTTAACCCAATATTTTGGCTCTCAATAACTTCAGCATACTTTCAGCTACACAAACCATTAGAATATCAAAATATTCAGTCTTTTCAGCACATAATGGGAAATGTTCCCAAACATTTTCAACTTTTTAAAATATTCAGCTTTTTAAAATCTTTTTTTAACATGTAACTCATTGGGAGGAACCTTGAAAACCTCCTTTGCCTACACCGTGTGCAAGATGATATAATTTGCTATCAAATGGTCACAATACATTCACCTATTAAACTTGTATTCAGATTTTTTTATATCTTTTACAGTTTTTTAAATATCAACATTTAAGTTTTGGTAAATGTTCAGACCGTTTTAGATTTTATAATGGGTGTCTATGGGACGACACTTCAAATCCTCTTTTACCTTCACTGTGTGCAAAATGCTACTCCTTCCACATACTTTCAGCTAGAAACTTCATTACAACTTTAAAGGTCTCCTATCATGCTATTTTTAGGCATATATTATAGGTCTCAGATATATAAAAATACTTGTTTACACATACTCTCTCCAGTACAGGTTAGCTAGGTTAGTGTTAGCGATGCTTGCTAATGTAAACAAAGAAAATTACTTCCAAAACACGTAGGGCATTGTTTCTGATAGCGACATTTCTGATAGGGCCGTGGGTGTAAAGCCAGCCCGCATTTCCGATATTACGTCATATCGGCAACAAATCTGGATAAGCTCCCTTGTACCCCCGATTTTAGAGTTTTGTGGAAAAGGAGGAAAAGAGGTTTTGTTTTCTGACACTTTTTGAGATCCCTGACACACCAGGGACACCCAGTGTAATGTCTTTTATGTATAAAAGACATTACAAAGTGCATTTTGCATGATAGGAGACCTTTAAAACGGTCACAAGACATTCAGCTATTAAACTTGTATTCAGCTTTTTGATGTCTTTGACAGAATTATCAACATTTGATAACACAAGTTTTGGTTAATTTTCAGGCTGTTTTAGATTTTATAATGGGTGCGGGACGGACTATTCAGGGCTAGAGTGTGTGACATCATCACTTAGAGCAGGGGTCGACAACAGGCGGACCGCGGTCCAATACATTAATAGGGGAACCAATGAGCACCTGCATGTGTATGAGAATGGCCCTGACACCATTTCAGCCCAGATTTACAAACTCCTGGAAGGACAAGCTCCAGCTCAATTCTCGCACTGAATTAAAAAAAAGTGAGTGAGGGACTGCAATATAAGAGGGAAAGAAAGAGAAACTTTAAAACTGTTCAATTGTTATGATGTAAAGACTGATATTGTTCTATAATCATCTGAAACTGTTAAGTCATGATGTGAAACGGTTAACAAAGAAAAAGGGAAACTCAAGCTGCTGCTACACTTTATTTTATTTATCTAAAATTAAGCACTTTTAAGATGCACATATTTTCAAAAGCTATTTATTTTCTCTATTTTATTTTTAAATGCAGCCAAAGAGGAACATTACACATATCCACAGTATTTACTGTATATCTGTATAGTTCAATGTTAATTAACAATAAATATTGTTGTTTTTGAATTGTACCGTAATTTTCGGACTATAAGGCGCACCTGAATATAAGCCGCAGCAGCTAAATTGAATGATGTGTATGTGTATTGTTGATTACATAAGCCGCACTGGACTATAAGCCGCAGGTGTTTTAATGTTTAATTACTATATGTAAGGGTTCGTGCACAGAGGGGATTGTCGGGAAAGAGATGGCTGTTTGAGGAAGCTCCCATTTATTAACATTTCAACAAACAAGTTACATATTTGCATAACGTATTCAAGTGTTACCATTTAGTGCAATAGTAGCTACAGAACATATACTGTGCTGTGTAAACTGTACTGTATCACGTAGCGTTTCAGACACACAAACTTTTCAACTTTCAAACTTAAACGGTGCGCTCCCAGCGTTTACCGGCAATGATCTACAGCAGTGGTTTTCAACCAGTGGTCCTTGAGGGAGTGCTAGGGGTTCCCCAGCAAAATTAGTTAATAGCGTCACAATCATTTAACCACTTAGCTTTGGCTATTTTTGAAAAACCTTGAAAAAGTGTGCACATCTTTGAATATTTATATTTTTTAAAGCGAAAATTAACTGATATCTTTGCTTCTGGGGGTCCCTGGCACAAAATATTTTCAATTGGGGGTCCGCGGCCAAATGTGTATCAATTTAGGGGTCCTTGGCATGAAAAAGGTTGAAAACCACTGATCTACATTATAGCCTACAGCAGTACCATAACAAAAAACAACAAAGCTTACAGCGCTTGACGAGGCAATATCAATGGCTAAATTAAATGTGTTTTTTTAAAAGTGCAAAATAAAGTGCCTGTAACACGACAGTAAGTGCGTAAGCCTAAAGTTGCAGTAACACGGCTGCTTAAAATATACGGTAATCAGCCTACCAGAAAAGTCATTAATCCTCGTCTTCATCTTTTAGGCTAAGGTGCATACGGCTGTAACCAGAAAAGTCAAGTCATTAATCCTCATCTTCGTCTTCTTCCTGCGTACTAAAACCACCAAAGTCCTCATCTTCAGTGTCGGAAAGGAACAGGCTCAGGGTGGCTTCGTCAGCCACTCTCCTCTCTCCTTCGTTGTCGCTCTCAAAACCAACGAACTCCTCTTCGTCACTGTCGGAATCGAACAGCCTCTGAAGGGCCTCAGCTGTGGCGGCGTCCTCCTCTTCAACATGCAGCAGTCCAGCCTTTCGGAACCCGTTGGTGATCGTGGATGTTTTGACACTCCTCCACGCTGTCAGGATCCACTCGCAAACTTGAGCGAAAGTTGCTTTTCGCATGCGACCAGTTTTGGTGAATGATTTATCGCCGCTAGTCATCCACGCCTCCCACTGAACGCGTAGTGCCACTTTGAACGCACGATTGACACTGATGTCGAGTGGCTGCAGATGCTTCGTTGTGCCCCCAGGAATCACAGCTGGAATTGAGTTTGTGCTCTTGATGGCTGCTTTCACAGAATCTGTTATATGGGCCCTCATGCTGTCCAAAACGAGCAAAGTTTTTTTTTGGCGAAAGAATCCTCCAGGGCGCTTGACGTAGCACTCATTCAGCTACTCCTTCATTACGCTTTCCATCATCCACCCTTTCTTGTTGACTTTAAAGGAGATGCCGTTCGGGATCTTTTCTTTTGGCATTGTAATCCGCTTAAAAATCACCATTGGCGGAAGCTTTAATCCAGATGCTGTGCAGCCAAGAACACAAGTGAAATTCGTTCTCTCGTGGCCAGTGGTTCTCAACGTGATGGACGATTCACCTTTCTTGTTAACAGTCCTAGTGAGAGGCAGGTCAAACATCAAAGGCACTTCATCCATATTTATGATCTGGTCCGGTCCGATGGAATATTCCTCTTTGTGTGAATTCGCCGAAGTTTGTTATTTTTTCCTGGTAGGAAGGAGGGAGTTGCTGACACACAGTCGTCCGCGCCCTGATGGACAGTCCCTTTCGTCTCATAAATCTGAAACACCAGGATGGTCCACCTCTAAAATTTTCAATTTTCATTTCGGTGGCAACTGTTTTGGCCTTCAGTCGGATCTGCACGGTGGAAACACCTCGGCCGTCTGCTCTCTGTGTGTTCACCCAATCTTCAAGAAAGTCTTCAAGTTCGGGCCATCTACTTTTATTACCTCTGAAAGCTTTTTTTGACTTTTTGCATTGAGACAGTTCTTCCCGCTGGCGTCTCCAACGCAGCAGCTCTATTTCCTTCTTTTACTGCCAGATTGACTGCCTTTAACTTAAAAGCTGCATCATATGCATTTCTACGTTTGTTTTCCATAATGAGGGTTTGTGCATGAAAACTTCCTTTGCACAAACTGTCTCGCTCTCGTAATGTCTGTCTGTCTTGCTCTCGTTCTGTCTCTCGTACCACTCTCGGTTCCACTTTTACTTTTGCGCGCTACCTGTCTCACTCTTTTCCGGCCTCCAGCTTTTCCTGCTGGAGCCCGCCGCTTAAAGGTGGGGGGCGCGGACCGGCCATAGAGCCCATAGAGTTAAAGGTGGTGGACTGTAACCTGTAAAATCCATAGATTTAGGAGGTCCCCTAGTGGCCGTTAGCTGTAAAAATCCATAGATTAGCCGCACCGTTATATAAGCCGCAGGGTCGAAAAATGGGAAAAAAGGCGCGCCTTATAGTCCGAAAATTACGGTACTTTCTTTATTTGATTGGCAGTCAGTTGTTGATTACATGCAGACGTTGATAAAGCTACAGCTACTTCAATATATATCACACTAATTCATAAAGCAAGTTAGACATTTTGAAGCTCCGGACCTTTGCACGGGGAGATTTTCTCTAACTGGACCTCGTTGAATTTTAGTTGAATACCCCTGACTTAGAGTGTAGAGGGTCTTTAAAATCTTCTGAAAAAAATATTTTAGAACTGCTCTCAATCCCAACATATACACTCTACTCAAATAATTTCAAAAGATTTCAGGAGCAATATTAATCAGGCCTGCTCTCTGCCCTTCATCATATCAAACTGACCCACCATTCTGGCACAATAGTGATCTGAGTGACAAAAAGTCCACCAAGCTTCCCAATAGACTCCAATGTTAAATTTGTCCGGATATTTCTTCAGACCAGAAAGAAGTCAACTTTAGACAAACTGCTGCCATGTCCACACTTTACACACACACAAAAACACACAGATGTGTTCATCAGGGCTCTCTGATGCTCATGGTAGGAGCCATAGTTTTGAACAGGAGGCTAGATTGTCAGATATAATCCTCAATGCATTCTGACTGGGACTCAGTGCTGCAGTTGGTTACTGTGGTGTTGCTGGGCAAATTGGGGCCACACTCCTGAGTGAC